CCAGGTAAAGAAAGCCGTCCCGAAACGGGGGGGGGGGGGCATCTACAGCTGGGATGAATGTCCACTTAGTGTAGGGACTTGTCCAGGTGTGCCATGGCTCTCTTATGTGGCAGGCTCTCATGTTGATACCTCCCACACCACCACTGGGCACCCCATTCGTGGTCCAGCGGGGGGTTGGGAGAGGAGATGTAGCTGCACTGGCTGCTGCTTCCTTGTGCCAACAGCCTGGGGCATGGGCAGGAGTATCTCCGCACCCAATGTGACAACACCCACAGTGGCAGCTACAGTGGCCATAACTCTTTTCTCAGACTGTGCTTTGGGACAAAAGCAAACAAACATGCAAGTTTGTGTGAGTCCAGCAGAAAAAGACTTTTGCGTGCATGGCACAGCAAGCACTGCCATCACATTAGAAAACACATCACCCCACTTGCTCAGGGTGAGACTGAGCAAGAGCCACACTGAGTACAGGCCAAGGAGGTGGACCTCAGCCCCTGGGGGCAGAGACTGTCTCCTAGAGGGTCCTGCAGCAGCACGCCCAGCGAGGGACAACTGCAATGCGCCTCGCCCTAGCCCTTTCAGAAGCCCATGTCCAGTTGTGGTATCTGGACTGTAAACAATGTGGCAGTTAAGGTGAAAGCTGAAAGCAATCAGGAGGTTTACAGGGGTAGAAGAGTTAAAAGGGTCTGGGCTGTTCTATGCATTCTGTTTATTCATTTGCTTATTTGTTTCATCTGATTCAGTTAACTATGTATTGAATGCCTGCTATGTGCCAATCACAGTGCGGAGGAGGGGATTCAGCAGGGAACAAAGAGAGATATAAACCCTGTCCTTACAGAGCTGTAGGCAGTTGTGTTACTAGAGCACGGTCTTCAGGAATAAGTCTGTGAGCTCAAAACTGGTCTTTATCGGCACACCACAACCAGAAATGGCTTAAGAAGCAGGAAGAGAGAAGGGTTGGAATACAGAAGAACTTTCCATGTTTCTCCTCCTGCCTGTCATGGTGATTAATACTGGCAGTAACCCAGGGCATCGGTCCTCCATGATTCATTATCTCACTGTGTAAAGCACAGCATTTGAAGAGTTAGCAAAGACCCAGAGGCATCCAGAAGGGGTTAGTGGGCTTTGTTACTGGTCATCTTGATGTTGGTTGTCTTTTGTAACTAGGGAGAATTTTCTGGTGGTGTTGGCACTGCAAATACAGACTCTCCTGGAGGCAGGGGCCTGGCCAGATAAACTTCTGAAGCTGGATGCTCTGAGTGTCTAGGATATAGTACCTAGGCCACCTCTCAATGTAGATGGACTCATAACCTCCTCGCCTACCCTCCTCTGACCTGACCTGTTTTCCTGTTTAAAATATCAGGAAGTCTCAGGACTGGAGGGGCCCACCCCATACCGCATCATGGTAAAGAACTCGTCCTTGGAGAGGAAGCCATTCCTATCAAGGTCATACATGGTGAACATCAAGCGGGACTTGTCCTCTGGGGAGCCTGGCAAGAGATAGGGGGATGCCCGTCACCTCTCTGCTGAAAGACACCTGACTCCTGGGATGGTCCACCATCCCCCTACCTTTCATGAAGACCACCAGGACGTCCAGGAACTCCCGGAAGGACAGGTAGCCATTGCCGTCCTTGTCGGCCAGAGAAAACATGGACTCCACAAACATGTCCTGGGGCTTGAGGCCCAGGGACTCGGCAAACTCAGCCCGGCTCAGCTCACATGTCAGGGCCTCCCGCACCTTCTGTGAGGAGTCCAGGGGCAGGGTCCCGGCATCTGCCTGGTTGATGTCTAGCACCTGCACTTGGGCAGCAGCAGAGGGAAGGAGAGAAGGAGGTGAGGCTGGAGGCAGTTCAGTGACCTCTCACATCTCCCCAAAGTCCAGCTCAGAAAGGGTGAGCCCTGGTGGCTGCTCACAGTCATTAGATAAACTTCTGACTTGGGCTTCTGCTTTCCTGCAGAGGGGGTGGCTGTAGCAGGGGATGGGGTGGGAATGGGGAGGGGCACAGTTTGGGAATGCAAAGTGAGAGAGCCTACACTGGGGACAGAAGCTGCAGCAGACATTAAGTGGACAGGGAGGAAGGGGCTAAAGATATGTTCTCTTGTCAGTTCAGACAGGGCTGCCATGTGCCTGATTTTAAAAGTCAGATACATGTAACTACCATTTGTTAAATGCCTATAACGAAGCAAGCACTTGGGCTAAACCCTGTACATAGAACAGTGTTTATCAAACTTTAGAGTGAATCAGAAGCCTCTGGTGGGCTTGTGGGCCCCAACCCCAGAGTTCCTGATTTCCTAGGTCTTGGGGAAGGGCCCGAGGACTTGAATTTCTAACAAATTCCCAGATGAGCCTGCTGCTGCTGGTCCAGGGGCCACACTTTGAGAACCACTGATGTAGACCATCTCCCTGAATCCTCGCAGCAACCTAAAGGGATGGATCCTATTTTAATCACTGTTTCATAGATGAGGAAATTGAAATCTCCAGCCCGCAGAGCAGAAGCTTAGATCACCCCACATAGGGTCCTGTCCAGCCCAGCGTCCCCTTCAACCCCTGGGCCCGGTCCTGCCTCCAAAAGGCACAGTCAGGCACCTGGGCAAAGAGGTGTCTGAAGAAGACCTCCAGGATGCGGCCCCGCTGCTGCTTGGTCACAGCCTTCCTGAACAGCTCGTTCTCACTCATCTCAGCCACATCAAGGCCCAGAGCCGAGCTCACACAGAAGCCCTGCAGATGCTGCACGAAGGTGCCTCGCTCTTCCTCGGAGTTAAACAGCATCACCTGGTGGGAGGAAGGCTCAAGCTTCTGGTTCAGCCTCCCCTCAGAGGGTCTTGGGTTGGGAGATAGCGAAAAAAGCTGTCCCCCACTCCATCCTGGCTGGAGCCAGGTGAGAGGCCCAAAGGGGGTCAGAGGGAGAGTCCGGTGGGTCTGGGGACCTCCGAAAGGAGTACCTCCTCCCAGCATCAGCCTTCACAACTGAGCTCTGTGGCTGAGGACGGGGTGGCCAGAGAGGACTTGCTGTGAGAGGGGAGATGTGCGAGGGCAGCCCAAGCCGGGGAGGCAGGACGGGCCATACCAGGTCATACTCCTTGGGGATCTTGAGCAGCAGGGCGCGGCATCCGCGGTTGCTGGACAGGATGAGGTGGACCTGCTGCGGGGGCCTCAGCTGGACGGTACGGAGCACAGAGAGACGCCTGTCCAGGACCTGCAGACGCCTGTCTGGGAGCAGCTGGATGGTGATGGGATAGCTCCTCTCCCTGGGTCCCGGCCACTCCATCGCTAGGGAAGGGACAATGGGGCAGAGTGGTTCAGCAGAGGTCCCTAGG